TTAACATGTTGGTTTGAAGTCATTTTGTGCTAAGGGGTTGTCCACCCTTCTTGTTGTTTGTTTGTGTGAGCTTTTGTGCCATCTTTTAGCATATTAAAATCAAACTTTTTGGGCCTTTAAACCACTAAAATTCAGATTTATTTCAATGTTAAAAAGTATGTTTTGAAGTCCAAAAATGAAAGGGTTAGCCTCCCCTTCTTGTGTCTCTTTTGCATGCCTAGTTAGCCCCATGTATTAGCTTAATGTTTTAGCTTTTTGTGGCTCAAGTCCAGCATGTTTTACACTCTATTTTGACCTATTTTAGCTTTGTTTCGGGCTGGTTAAGTCTTTTGAGTCTTGTTTTGCATAGTTGTAGTGTAAGTCCTTTCACTAGCTTAGTGTTTTAAGCCTTTAATCATCATTGGTTTGAGTTGATTGCATGTTTTAGTGCTTTTTCTCACCTAATTTCAACACTTATAATCTCTCCAATCTCCCTCATATCTTCACTTTTTCATTTGCTTTCAGGGTTGTTTCAACCTTAGGGTTGTTTAAGCTTGAGATTGAGGCTCATGCTTAATGGTTTAATCCTCTTTTCAGGGTTCATTACCAATGGCATGAAGTTTCTCTCATGCCTTAAACTATCCCTTGGTGATACTTCTTTTACCTTAGAAGACACTCACCAATGGACTAATTGATTAAAGGATGGTTTGGTAACTAAAATGAGTAAACAAAAATGACAAGTAAAAAAAGGCAAGATAAGCATCTTTTGTGTTACATTGCATATTTTCAAATCGAACGTTAGTTTGAACATAAGGAAAATTAGACATTTCATACTCAAAAGTGATGAAATGTGCCATTTTCCTTAGTCACCATTGCCCTTCATCATGCATGATAGGATGATGGTCCTTTGGTCTCATTTTGCATTTATTGAACTTGCACGAAATTGCTTGATTGATGGTTTATAAACCCAAATTTTGTCCCTCCTTTGATTTCCCCATGAAAATGAGAGGCAAAGTGTGTAAATAATCTATGAGAATACATTGTTTTGCTCTGCCTGCTCTCTGTTGCAGCAAAAAGAGGAGTTCATCTCATCAGTGGCCGACCGGCCACCACCAGTAGCCGACCAGCCACCGTTGGTAGCCGACATGCCCTCTGTCAGCCACCAATGAAAATTGCACAATTTGTTCAAATGTGCAAACAGAGGCGTTTAGTGGCAAGACAGTGACTTTTTCGGGTGGAGAAACCGAGCATGCATGCATCCCTCACTTCCCGAGGCCATTTAATTGCTTTGTTTAGTTAATT